AATCTCGTCATATACGACGAAGATATATAACTGTTAGACAACTATTCTCTAAGGTAACTATCATAATTGGCTACGTGAAGTCAAGCGATAAAGTGTTAGATCCACTTACAAAAGGCCTAACGAGAAAGATAGTGGAGAGATCATCGAAAGGAATGAGACTATGGCCGAGGACAAGTCATTATGGCTGTAACTCTACCTAGAATAATGGAGATCCAAGATCTAGGTTCAAGGAGATCAAACAAAGTCATTAATGATTGTTCAACATTGTCACGACCCAAAATCAACCGTCATGATGGTGCCTATCGTGGAACTAGGCCAGCCTCAACTCAAGAACCCAACACCAATAACAATAAGTTTGAAAACGTTAACGGAAGCATTTAACATTAAAGAAAAACTATTTGAAACATAAAAAAATCCCAAAGTGATACAATCCAGCCTAAAACCAGGGTGTCACTAAGTACATGAGTGTCTAGATCAGAAATACAGTCTACTACAGTGTTTAGAGATATAAACTGAAAATATGACAAAGATAAAGAAGGAGAGTCAAGGCCCGCGAACGTAGTGCAACTACCTTGATAGTCTCCAAAACTCTAGGATCCTTAATCAGCAACCGCCGCTATGACCGGTAATGCCTGGATCTGCGCATGAGGTGCAAGGAGTAACGTGAGTACACCAACTCAGTAAGTAACAAGTCCAACTTTGGACTGATAGGTAGTGACGAACTCAACCTCAACAGGCATAACATAAATAAATGTGCAGAAACGTAGGCATGCTTTCAAGTCAAATATACAGCTAAAACAGTAAAGAAAATACAGATCTGAACAGTGTAAGGTATACAACTCAGCTATCTCTACATGCCAATGCACAAATTATATGAAATACACCATGTGCTCCACTCTCAAGTATTCAACCACTCGGTACTATATATGGCCATCCGGCCCAGGGAAATCCATCCCGAAACATATACAACACTGACTATAAGGCACCAGTACCGAGGAAGAAGGGCAATCCAACCCTGTGGAGAAATCCATCTCCAGGTATCAAGTACTTCGGACAAATCCATGTCCAGGAAAATCCATCCCTCAATAATATCATCCGCGCTCACTGTGGTATGTTACAGACTCTGGGGGGACTCCTGCAGCCCAAGCGCTATCATAATCATCAATATAACCGTTGCGGCGTGCAGCCCGATCTCATAACCAGGATCTCGGCCTCACTCAGTTATCAACCTCTCCAGTCTCACTCACGGGCTCAAAATGTCATGAAAACAAACCTGGAACAATGAAATGATAACTCAATAACTAATCGAGACTGAGATATGATATAAAAAGACATGAACATGACTGAGTACGGAATATTAATAAAAATAATGAGATGACAGCAAGAAACGACCACTAAGGGTCCCAACAATACCAGCAGATATCTAGCATGATTTACAGCTCAATTACTTTATCACATGATGAAAGCATGGATATTAACAGAATAGAGTCACTAAACGGTGCCATGGAATCACCCAGGCCACAATTCTCACGGTGCACGCCCGTCACTTGGCATATGCGTCACCTCAATACCAATCACATAACGTATAATTTGGGGTTTCGAACTCTCAGAACCAAGCTTGGAAGTGTTACTTACCTCAAACTAAGCAAAATCCTACTCTGCGATGCCCTTGCCTCTCAAATCAGCCTCCAAACGTCCTGAATCTAGCCACAAGCAATACAATACGATCAATATAGGCTAAAGGAACCAATTCCACAAGAAAAATATCAAATTATAGCCAAAATCCGAAATCGGCTCAAACCCGGCCCCCGGGCCCATGTCTCGGAATCCAAAAAAAATCACAACACCCGAAAGCCTATTCACTCATGAGTCTAACCATACCAAATTTATCAAAATTCGACCTCATTTGGTCATTCAAATCCCCAAAATCCACTCTCCAATTCTCAACCCTAAACTCCCAAATTTCTAGCTCAAATCCATAATTAGATAATGAATAAAGCCATGGATTCACGAAATTTATACCATCATGGGTTAGAATCACTCACCCCAATGTTGCTCCTTGAAAACCTTCAAATCGCCTCTCCCGAGTTTCTCAAGTCCAAAATTGAAAATGAAAGACAAAACCTCGAGTTGGTGCTTTTCTGCCCAGCAATACCGTACATGCGGTCCATTGAACGCTTCTGCGACGCCGCACCTACGGAAATTCCATCGCAAGTGAGGATTTCACTTAAAATCCTGACTTCACTCGTGCATCCTCAAGACCGCATCTGCGCCTTACGTAGGTGCGGAAACTCTCTCGCTTCTACGGTCAAAACTCGCATCTGCGCCTGCCTGCACGCATCTGCGACTCACGCAGGTGCGAAAACACAAGTGCGGGAATACCTTCGCACCTGCGGTTCCTGTCCTAGTCCCCCATGGCCGCATCTTCGGCTCCTCAGTCGCTCATGCGGGCTCGCACCTGCGGCTCCCACTCCGCAGGTACAGAAGACACCAGAACCAGCAGCTTCAGCTGCATTTCATCAACTCCAATTCTTCCGTTAACCACCCGGAATCACCCCGAGGCCCTCGGGACCTCGACTAAATATACCAACAAGTCATATGACCACCCCTACGAACTTAGTTGAACCTTCGAATCACTCAAAATAATATCAAAACACCAAATTACCCTCGGATTCAAGCCTAGGAACTTTTAAACTTTCAAATTTCGCAACCGATGCCGAAACCTATCAAACCACGTCCGAATGACCTCAAATTTTATACACACGTGAAAAATGACAGCACAAACCTACTCTAACTTCCAGAAATCAATTCCGACCCTGATATCAAAATTTTTACTGCCGACCAAAATCGTCAAATTTTCAACTTTCGTCAATTCAAGCCTAATTCTCCTACAGACCTCCAAATCACATACGGGCGCTCTCCTAAGTCCACAATAACCTAGCAGAGCTAACGAAACCATCAAAATTCAAATCCGAGATCGTTTACACATAAGTCAATATCCGGTTGACTTTTTCCAACTTAAGCTTCTAATAAAGAGACTAAGTATCTCAATTCACTCTGAAACCACTCCGAACCCGAATTAACTAATTTGGTATATCACAATATAGCTGAAGAACACAAAAAGAAGCAGAAATAGGGAAAAAGGGGCTATAACTCTCGAAATGACCGGCCGAGTCGTTACAAACATAGTCAAATAAACTTTTGGTCCATTCTCGTGATGAGACAATGTTTAGTATCAAGGATAAAGTGTTAAGGCTTTTTAATAATTTTTAATTTTGATACGAGGTATATCAAATAGTGTATCTACGAGATAACACGTTTAGGAATCACCTATATAAGTATGAAATGTAAGCCGCTTCAAGGAGGATTCTATAAGGCCAATTTTCTATGCACTTATGAAACCAGTCGGTGTTCATGGTTGAAACGAACACAGCAATGATAACCAAAGACGGTTAAGGATTGATTGTGTGACTTATGGTTATCTAGGTATACATCAAAGTTCGATGGTTCAAAGATATCAAATCTACCGATTGACCGAGTATATCCGACATAAGTTCACTACGGAAAGTTCAAAAGGAAACCTACTTATCCAGGTGCGATTATTTCTTTCTTGCGAATCATACAATTTTTTATGCATATTTTTATAAATATGGTCATTCCCCATTCATGTGGGGGATTGTTGGGTTTTTTTTAAAGGGTGTGAATGGGAAATGGAAGAGACACCTTTTGAATTGCACCTCTTTATCTCACCTTTTCATTGTCTATAAATTTAGAGGCTTAGCCTCATATTTTATACATGAAAAATTTGAAAATTTCTTCCTTTGTCTCTACATTGTTGCATTGTTTTTCCAAATAAATAAAGTGTCAAGTGTGATTTGTTCAGTTTGTTGAGTTCGTCGAAGTTCTGTAATTTCGATTGTGAGTATTACAGAATAGTTTTCCCATTCTATCCTGGGAGGAAGTAATCCATAACATTCGGCAACAGTGAAGGGATTAAATTCCTTAAGGACACACAAACAAGTTGTGGGCTTGAAATTATTTTACGATTTGTTTATTGAACTAACTTTCTTTTTCCCTCTGATTTTCTGATTTCGAACACAGGAATATTAACGGTAAATCACCAAAAAAGCTCTCTACAAATCAAAACTCGTATTTCTTTCTTATACAAGTCTTGAAAGTTTATTAATATATTTTTTAACCGTTCTTTCTACAAAGTGATTGCTACACTACAGCAAAATAATGTGAGTGATTTGAGAAAGGCGACAATTTTCTTTTCTTCTGTTTTTCCCTTTTCTGAAGTCTTTTTCTGAACCAATTCATATAGGGTCCGGAAAAGGCCATAGCCCTAGGGGTATATGATATATTCAACTTATCATAATGCAAGCATTAGTGTCTACTTTCACTGCTCGAACTTGTAATCTATATAGGTCACACAAAAACAACTTTACCGTTATTCAAACAGAAATTCTAACAAAAAGACTCAAAAGTATTTCACTTAAAATTTTAATTTGTATTTCTTTTAGATTAAGGGGATTCAAAATTTTATGTATATATTTATTTTTACCCTATTTAGGCATTATATCTTTCAAAGAAAAGGATTCAATTGAATCCCCTTCACTGCGTCTGGCTCCATCATAATTCTCAAGAGGCAATAAAGTAGTTAAGAAATCACAATTCGAACTGCAATGTCATGAAACTCTTTTACCCTAGTGACTTTTTGAACACTGCATCAAATGAATCTTTCAAATGAAGAAAGAGTCTACCAAAATAGTAAAGAAACCACATGGATCATTTTTGTCTTAAGTTTTGACAATTTCAATTACAAAAAATACAATATTATTTTGTTTCTTCTTAACATTCTGGGTCCAAGAAAGGATAGTTAGTCACAAAAACGAGGTGCCAATTTTGGTATTATTCATTCTTGGCGGCTTCAAGTTAATGCAATTNACCTTTCAATTGCCTTTCTATATCATCATCATCATTTCTCATACATATCTTCCTTCTCTACTCTTAATATATATATTTCCATAACATTACATAAGAACAAAAAACTCACATCTATTACTCAACTTTGGTTCCTTTTAGCCTATCTCCAACCCAAACATGTCAGAAGATAGCCATATTATCCCTCTCGCACCACCAACAACATATCCCAAAAGCGATAAAGAGCTAAATCTCAGCAGACCGACCAATTTTTACAATTACAAAAACAAGAATAAAAGCAGCAGCAAGTTTTTCGTTTACCTTCTATCCGCTATCGTCTTACTAAGCATAGTCATGCTAATTTTCTCAATGATATTTTTCCGTTTCAAGGCTCCATCTTTCGAGCTAGGTCTCATCGACGTGAAAAATCTTCGATATAGTAGTAATTCTTCTTTGCCTTCATTTAACATGACCATGGGAGCTGAAGTTATTATTGATAACGATAACTTTGGTCGAATTAATTTCCAAGATAGCAGTATGAGTGTTTTTATTTACGATAATGTCACGATTGGTTTCGTGAACATTAACGTTGGTCGAGTAGAAGCTAGAAAGAGTAAGAGAATGGGAATTGTATTACAAGTTGGAGCTAATGAATTGAATCATAGTCATGGGAATTTGAGCAGTGATTTAAATTCAAGAATGGTGAAGTTGAGAAGTGTTGGTGAGTTGAGGGGAAAAGTGAAGGCTATGAAAATTGTTAGTCGTTATAAGACTTCAGTGTTGAATTGTACAATGAATTTAAATTTGACTAGCCAAGCAATCCAAGATCTCCTCTGCAGTTGATCTTTTTGTTCCTTTGTGTATATTTCAGGTTGATTTTTTTCTTTTTTTTCTTTTTTTTTTAACTCTTGCTTTATAGGATTTCTTGTGTAAAATATAGAGAGGGCGTACTAAAGGCTGTTCCATTTTTGCATTTTTATTCTTTTTATTTTATTTTTCCTCAAATTCATATATAATCAAATATAGTTGCATTTTGTTTTAATTTTACTATGCATAAACTGGATTAGATTACATAAATAGCAGATAAATGGTTACAATACACTGGCAAAGGTCCCTAACATATCTTTGCTTCAATCTTTTTCAGTGGAAGCTGATCAGTCATCTCAATAATATTTTCAAAGTTCTTTTTATATTTTTAAATGGTATATGAAAAAGTTGATCAATCATACTAGTATTAAATACGATGAGAACAACTTGCATGCAAACGATATTATATTATTATAATGGTCCTGTGAAAATGAAACTAACTTCTTGTTGGAAATTATTGTCATCATCTTGTGTTTTTTATTAAACAACAGAACTTTACTTACATTTCCCTTTCAGTTCCATTAAAAGAGAAGTGCATCTCACCTGCCAATCCAGCCTAGAGTGGCCCTTCTATTCTGGGCCTATAAAGAAAGCTCTGACCCAATCAGATGGTAAATTTAAGGCCCAAAACTAAGAAATGAAGAAACCAAAAACCTGTGCTCCATTTGCTAGTGGCATGATATGATTCTCTCATTGTCCCAAGGACAATTAAAACCATTTTCACATTTTTAATGATTGAGATTAGTGGTGGTAAAATGAATAAGAAAACCACCCATATTATCTACTAAAAAATGGGTTAGATAATGAACTTTCTAAAAACGGGTCAAATATGGATAAGAACCAAACTATCCACTTAGAAAATGGATAACCAATGGATAATTAATGAGTTCAACCTTTACCTTTGTAAAGACTCAAATTTGGGGTTCCTCAAGTTTGGGAGATTAGGAATTCTCTCAAAATGATCATATTCAAGAAGTCATGGATAATATGGATCTATCCGTATCAAATATGGGTTAGGTCAGATAATTTATCCGTTTTCGACCCGTTCATATCCGACCCGCCCGTTTGGCCCCCATAGTTGAGATACACCATGGACCATGGTTGCTCTCATTACTCGGCCCAAGTTTGTTTTCGGGTCAAACTTGCCTACGTAATCGGCCCAACCATTTGCCTATGCGATTTTGCTTTAGATGTCAAATTATCATTCTCCTCGGTACGAGTCATTCTTCCATTCCCCTTTTTGTTTTCTTTTTCAAGCTCATTTTTTTTTTCGTTTTTACATAATTAAAGAGGTAAAGAAGAACCCAACTAATCGATATTCACAATACTAAGGATTTGACAAATGGTCTTTTAATAGAGAATCTATACACACATCAATGACCTTTTATCGAATAAAACACATAGTCCCCGCCAAGTCAACATTCAAATCCGTGCAAACACGGTAATTAGTACCATATTATGTCAAGATATTCCCATAACTTTATTTATATTAGTGTAAAACACTCGTTACACTAAGCTTTCTTATGAAACTAATAAAAAAAACCTTTCATAATTTTCAAACAATGTGTCCACCACAATCTCCAACTTCATCAATGACTTCTTTCAATGATCAAGCTCGATTTTTGGCACAAGGATCTCATCCAATTTACATCAATAACGACGATAATTATATTAACTTGGAGTTACATAAGAAGAAACGTCGTCGTCGAAGATGTATTAAATGTTGCGGCTGCTGTACAGCCGGCATGTTAGTTCTCGTTGTGATTATGTTGGTTCTTGGTTTCACAATTTTCCGTGTGCATTCACCGTCTATAAGGTTGAATTCTATCAAGATTGACGGATTAAGTTACCTCACAAGTAAGTCCACTCTCCAACCAAACGTTAACTTAACGGTCTCCGCTGTCGTGTCTGTGAAAAATCCTAATGCAGCCTCATTCAAGTTTAATGAAGCAACGACTAGTTTGTTTTATGATGACGTGGTTGTCGGAGAAGCCCTAACGCCGTCAGGAAACGCTAAGGCACGGCGGACTTTACGGATGAACGTGACGGTAGACGTTATGATGGAGAAAATTTTGAGCATTCACCGGCTAGGGAATGACTTAAAGTCCGGTGAGTTGCCTCTGAGTACATATACAAGAATTAATGGAAGAGTTAATATTTTGAAAATTATTAAGAAGAGTGCTGAAATAAAAATGAGTTGTAAAATGAATGTTGATTTGAGAAGTCAGGATGTTAGAGACATCGATTGCAACAGAATAGTGTCTCTAGCTAGGTAATATATACAATATTGTTTTTGCCTTTTGTAATTTTATTTGAGTTTGAATGATTGATCATAAGACAATAGTGTTTTATATATTTATCAATGTGTAATTAAGAGCGGCAAATTCTGAAAGAAGAGGGGGGGGAGGGGGACAAGACATATTGCTTGATATGAGCATCCATAAATTCAGAGGTTGCAGTGTCAGTTTCGGCATCAGATATTGGATGATAAGCCAAAAAAAATATTGTTACTCAATGATAATTAATTGTATAGTAATAATTTCACCGGAAAATTACTATGTTGCATTCTAAACTGTAAAATTTGGGTTTCACTGTGATCCTTTCTTATCCTACTTGTGATTTACCACTTTTTTGGTAGCATTGTCCATAAGTTTTCAATGAAGACTAGTCACATACATATGAGATCTGCCACAAAACAACCTATAATCTACTTTGTCTTGCTTTATTATATATTTCTTAAAGTCGGCTGCATCATGCGAGATCTACACGAGACAATCGAAAGCAACTAAAAAGAAAAACAAAAATAGAAATTCACTTTCGAGATATAATCCCCTAATTAAAAGACAAAATGGGCATAGGATAAAATTGAACTGCGGGCCTTCTACTTAGGACTAGTACATAAATCCACTCTTTAACCCACTTGCAAAGTAGAATGATTCTGTTCTTACCCAAAACAAGATACTATTAAACGGCTAAGTTAGTTTTGTGCCTTTAGCTACTATATGGATTCTTGTGCTTGTTTTATTCAAATTTTCATTTAATAAAGACTAATAAACATTAAACTATTTCAAGGAAAACAAATAAAAGATTTAGTTTGTGATAAGTAACCATGACCTATGCCATCTTTTGGATCCTTTCCTGTAACAACTTTGCTTCACCGCTACCTAAAACTTTGTGACTTTTGTCACTTTCTATTATTTAACTCTTTGAAAGACACCAACTTCAGACCTGGTACTTCGTCTTTCTTTATTGCCTGGTCTGTCAAAATATTCGAGAAAGTAATTTCATATTTTGATTCATACAGGAAAGGGAAAGGACAAATAAATGTCCTTCAGAACTGAAATCTAGTGACTTGTGTAACTAGTGTCCGGAAAAAAAAAAATTTATCAATAAAAATTAGAAAGTTAAAGAGCTAGAGTCTAGTGCTCGAGAAAGAGACGTATTCCAAAGGGATGTGATGTAGTCAGCGTATTCTAATGCAAGTATCAATAATTGATTCCACACTCAAACTCTGTACCTATAGATCACACGAAGAAAACATGACGAGACTCCTCTTCAATAAAATAAAAAGTTAAGTAAAAGGAAATGCTTTTTGGTGACATTTGACATTGCATTTTTGAGTGCAAAGTGATGAAGTTGCAACTCCAGTCTCAAGGACAACGACTACATTATTTCCACCACCTTATACCCCACCAATGGCATGCATGGAATTTTATTTTATTTAAGCTTCCACATATGGATTTCCATTCGAAAATCCTCGTCCAACCCGTTATTCTTATTGTTTCTGGGATTTAATCTTCATAACACGTTACATGAAAACTTTACACTATCATGTTACTGATAGCTTTGGGCCAAACTTTTAAAATCACCTTATTTTGAAAAATATTTTTTTAAAGTATTTTTTTAAAAGTAATTTTGATAAAAAATAATATGTATTTGGCAAATTAATTTCGAAAGCACTTTTGACAGTAATTGATATTTGAAAGCTTTTAAAAAGTGATTTTAAGTGTATTTTTTCTTTAAAATATTTTTTTAAAAAGTGTTTTTAAGAAGAAACTACTTTTTTTATACTTCTCAAAAACAACTTTTGCTTCTACTTAAAAGTACTTTGTTTCTTTCTAAAAGTTTGGCCAAACATTTTAAAATTTCAGATGAAAAAATATTTTTATCTAAAAAACGCTTATAACCAAAAAAGAAAAACATGGCCAAACAAACTACAATGCTACATATAGTTTTTAAATGCTGGATAAATTAGACTTATGTAAATACGAAAGGATATATAATCATCGTATTTTTAACCATATGAGGAGAGGAGTTTCACTTTTTCTCATTTTCTCATTTGCAAAGGACCCTACCCAAGAAAAGAAAGTTTATCTAACTCCGAACTTCTCAAAAATAATGAGAAATTATATCCATTATAAATTTGTGGGACTAAGTAGAGCTTAGAGAAAGAATGAAACACAATGGTCAAAGGAAAAAGCTTTCCTAGAGCGAGGAAATAGAAGGGCGTGGCGTTGTGGCAGCACTTTTGTAGCCCCGAATTCTCCCAATAGGAGACAAATTGAATCTCACAAGTATTCTATCAATTTTGTAAGCATCAAAATCAACGTCGATAAACTTCACGACTTACGATATTAACATGAATAGACAATACACACACTTCACTTACCTATCAAGGGATTTATAATCCTATGCTTGTTAAGAAAGAAGAACGGCCCACCTGTCTTTTCTTCTATTTTACATTGAATATTAAAAGAGAACCCCCAAAAAAGGAAAAAAAGAAAAAAGGAAAAGGAAAAGAGCATGATGAAAAGAATAGAAAAGAAATATTTTCTAGGATATCTTTGCCTCCACTTTACCCTGTTTGTTGACCGCTAAAGAGACTTTATAAGTCCAAAAGTTACTACTCGATTCCAAATTATTGGAAAACTCCCTACATGTAATCCTACATTTTTTGTGACTTTCTCATCTAGGAAGTATAGGAAAACGTCTAGAGATAAGTTCTCTGTATATATTACCCGGGCCAAACTAGTAGAATTATACAGGCTTTCTTATTATTTGTTTGTTCTCAGCTAGTGAAAGATTTGCCCAACCTGAGATAAAGCTAGAATACGAAATTTCTTATAACAAATACAATATTTTGACCCAACCGTAACTGAAAGGCTTCGCCCTTAT